TACTCTGTTTCCGCAATGAAAACAACCTCACAGCATCTGTCAGAAGGTATTATAATAGCCAATCTCGGAAAGCAGAAGAGTAAAAAAATGTCTGTCGAGATAACTAGGGCTACTGTAGTGTGGAGCTTCAGAACAAAGTTAAATGTTTGTCCTTGTGATATCTGATTCCCATTATTCAAAAATGTAGCACGCTAATGCTGTTTTTTTTTGACTCAATGTTTGAATTGCACGCAGTACATGGTTTGCAGGTTGAACTTGGAGTGTTGAAAGGCAGGTTGACAGAGGTAATCAGTAATTGTGATGCATTGTGCAAGAGGATTGATGCAGAGGGACCAGAATCGCTGCGATCATCTATCAAACCATTTACAATAGCTTCCTCGGACACAGAAAGCAACAGCAGCAGCATGCATACTCTGCAAGGTAAAGCAGATGAAAAGCAATAGTGCCGAGGCCTCTCTTTGGAGCTTATAAAATGTCTCTATACCCCCGGGTGTACATTACTTGTTTGAGAATTAACGACCCATACTTGTATCTAGTCCTACTGACTGGTAGTTCAAGGCTTCAAGCACACTTAGAAATTGATTGCACAGGAAACATAGTCGGGAAATTAATTTCATAGCAAGCATGTGGATCGATTTCTCAGCAGTATTGACTGTTCATTTAATTGTACTTGAAATGTTAAGATTGACTGTGGTGATGCTATGTTTTCCCCCTCTAAATTATGATAGATTTCCTTCCTATGGATATTCAGGAGCTGTTTGTGGATTTGAGAATTTAATTGGAGGGCGAAAGAAGTTTAAATTGAGTAGTATGCTGATCTAGTTTTGAGCTGTTGTTTCTCAACTTGATTATGAGAAATCGCTGATGTATATATGTATGTTCGTGAAGAAATTGTGGGTATTTGGAATCTAATAGGTATTTAGATAAATATCATATGAGGTGGCGGTGGGGAGGTAGGGATGAGAGCTAAGGGGAGTGAGGGTGAAGATGAGTTTTATAAGAGGGTAGAGAGGATAAGATCAATGTGAATTAGGGAATGTCTCTAGTAGAGTTTGTTTTCCCTAAACTTTCATTAGGTGAGAAGTTGGATTTTTAGAAAAAACATTTTACGAATTGAAGTTAAAAAAATAATAATTGGAAGGCATTTCGATAGTGATATTGAAAAATCACCATCGAATGTGACTCAACTGCTAGTCTGCTACACAAGTTACTGCACTTAAAATGTTGTATTTCCTCGATCTAAACGAGACGAGGTTGAAAGGAGGAAATTTGTGAAAACGTAATTCTTTACTATTTGAATCGAAGAAATTCTTATATATTATTTTCATCTCATATAGATAAAAATTCCAAAAATAGTTTTTATAAAAATTTAAAAAATATTTGTAAAGCACTATCCTAATTACAGTAAATAATAAGGATGATTTTATGTTTGAACATGAAAGTTTATAGAGGTTGCATCAAACCTCAACTATCCTTCACTAATTAATTTCGATAGCATTAAACAATTGAGATTCACTTTTAAGAAGTAATAGTAGGAGACATACGAGTAGAGTTAATTAGCCTCACTTGTAGTTAAATACTCCGAACTTGTATTTCGTCTAGACATCTTAACTTGATTTAAGTTAATTTTATAAATGATATTTCACAAATCTTATGTGTGAATTGCACTCACCAATAGCATTACAAAGTAACAAATAAAAAATGGATAACATGTACTACATGTTAAACTCATTGATACATTCGGTTTAGAAAATATTGGTTACTAATAATAAGTTTCAAACAATAAATAACAAGAGGACTAAATGACGAAAAAATGAAGATATATATAGTCTAAAACTTCGGAGTTACGGTAGGAAATATAATATAGTGATATACTATTAGAATTCACGTGCCTTTTGAGTAATGTTAGAGCCAAAAAAGTATTATGGTTGAATTCGAAACTATTTCTGAATGAATATTTATTATTTATCATATCAAAGACATAACTTTTATAAGGGGATGGATTATGGCCATGCTTTTGAGGTTAACCATTAGAGCAATGGAACGAGAAAAAGATGATAAAATGATCGTATTTAAAAAATTAACATCGTAAAATATCTCTAAAAACCTTTAACTTCTTGTTTCTAATTTTCTTAATAAGAGAAAAATACAAAGTAAGGAAAAAGATTAGCAATTCCATCACAACATTTTTTTTTATTACATTGATTGAACTTTTCATCTTAGCTGGACAATACATTTTTTTTTTAGAAAAAGACAATAAGATAAAATTTAACATATAGTTTGCACACAAAACCAAAATGTGTAAAATTTGGTGAAAAGCATACCACGTGATCAAGGCTGTTGTTGGGCATCAATGTATCCAGCATCAACAAGAACTTTCTCTCTTTTAGCCAACTCTACATCTTCATCCACCATCATCTTCACCAGTTGCTCAAATCCCACTTTTGGTTTCCAACCCAACACTTTTTTCGCTTTACTTGCATCTCCTTTCAGATTGTCAACTTCCGTTGGCCGGAAATATCTCTTGTCAATCTCCACATGTTCCTTCCAGTTCAATCCAACGTACCCAAATGCTACTTCTAGAAACTCCTCTACAGTATGTGAATCCTCCGTTGCCACAACGTAGTCGTCTGGTTTCTCTTGCTGCAGCATCATCCACATTGCTTCTACATAGTCTCCAGCAAAGCCCCAGTCCCTTGACGCCTGTAAATTACCCAAAAAAACCTTGCTCTGTAGCCCGATTTTTATCCTCCCTACAGCCCGGGTAATCTTCCTCGTCACGAAATTCTCACCCCGACGTGGAGACTCGTGGTTGAAGAGAATCCCATTGCACGCGAATATCCCGTACGCTTCCCGGTAATTCACCGTGTACCAATGCGCCGAGCATTTGGAAACGGCGTAAGGTGATCTCGGATGAAACGGAGTAGTTTCCGATTGCGGTGGCGGCGTAGATCCGAACATCTCCGATGATCCGGCTTGGTAATACTTGACGTGAGACCTTCCGGTAGCGGAGATGTGAGAACGAAGCGCCTCAAGGAGGCGGAGTGCACCGGTAGCCACTACGTCGGCGGTGTAATCAGGGATCTCAAAAGAAACGGCTACATGAGATTGAGCAGCTAGGTTGTAAATCTCATCAGGGAGGATAATATCTAGCCAACGTCGGAGAGAACTAGCGTCGGAGAGATCAGCATAGTGAAGCTTCATTTTGGCTCTGCAGGTGTTATGAGGATCGATATAAATGTGATTGATGCGCTGGGTATTGAAACTGGAGGATCTACGAATAAGGCCATGAACTTGATAGTTTTTGCTAATGAGTAATTCAGTGAGATAGGAACCATCTTGGCCTGTGATGCCAGTGATGAGTGCAATTTTGGATCTGCCATTTTTGTTGCCGGTGCTGCCATTTTCAGCTGCCATTTTTGTTGCCAATTGAGACAAGTGGAAGAATTTGTTTGATTATAATGAGAGGCAAATACAATTCCAAAATATCGCACTATATATAACACCTCTGCCGGAGAAACAAAGAAGACTATAAAAAATTAGTATTCATAAAAATGAAAAGTTCTTTATTTTCTTTTGCAATTGTGTGTGGACCGACACTAACGAATTGGATTGAAAATTATGAGCTCTTATATATTAAATATTTTTTTCTTTATATTTATGATTTATTTTAAATATTAATTGATATTTTATCATTTAAAACTTTTTTGATTAAAAAATAAATTATTTTATCGTATAAAATTAAAATAACATTATAGTTTTGAGACATAATTGTGGTTTTTTATACTGGTATAAGAAGTGTAATTTAAATGTTTAATATATTTTGAAAATTTTACGTTTCTTTATTAGAGGTGGTTGAATGAAGAGTAGAAAAAATTAGAACACGTGGTCAGTGTTCTAAAAGAAAAAAATGAGAAGTCCTTTCTTTTCCTTTTTTTATGAATATAAAATGACCTCCTTCCGGACAATCTATGTTCTATCATCTATTTTTTATTTATTTATTCAGTACAAAGAAAAATAAAAGTTTTAATATTTTTTTTAACAAATTGTATATAACGGTAAATTAATAAATCAAATTAATTGTGTTATGTAACATACTGTTTGTCAATCATCTCTCTCCCTCAAACTCTCACTCGCCACTCTCCTCTCTCGCTCCATCTCTTGCTCGCTCACTTTTATACAAATACAAGTATATAAAATTTGTTTTTATTTGTATAAAGCGAGAGAAAATTGTATAAATACATGTATTTTTGTTCCTCTCTCTCCCCTCTCCCAGATCTCGCTCGCTCCTCTCCCAGATCTCCCTCGCCTCTCTCGCTTATACAAACAGAAAAGAAATGTATAAATTGTGTTTCTATTTGTATAAAGCAAGAGAAAATTGTATATACACATGCAAATACATATATTTTCGTCCTACACACTTATAATTATATAATAAAAATACTCTCATCCCCAGTTTCTTTTGTCTTTCTCTCTTTCTCGTTTTATGCAAATACAAGTTGTATATAATTTCTCTCTTTATCATTTTATACAATTCGATTCAATTGTATATTCACTGCCTAAGTCTCTTTGCCTTTCTCTCTTTCGCGTTTTATACAAATTCAAATTATATATAATCGTTTTATACACTTATAATTATACAATTCGTTTCATACAATTCTCTGCCCAAGTGTCTTTCTCTTTCTCGTTTTATACAATTCGCTTCAATTGTATATGTATAGCGAATTATACATTATATATTTGCTATGGAGTACAATTATGCAAACTTTGCTATAACATACAAATATAAATTTTATGTTTTCTAAATGTGAAAGTTGCCTTTTTTATATTGGATTATTTATTCTTGTTTTAGTGTTTTTTTTTTTAAAAAAAAAATTCAACAGTTAAATTGATAATAATCAATAACTCAATATATAAATAATTCTATAATGATTTAACTTGTGAACAAAAATATAAATATGAAAAATAAAAGGACGAGGACGTAATGAGGTGTAGGCGGTAAATATGAAAAGGCGTGTAACGATCTTTCCAGCAGCAGCCAAATACAAATATGCAACGGCGCAACGTCTTCGACTCTCTTATTTTTTCCACTCCCCAAACAACGATTTTTAGGGTTTTCATTCCAATCGCTGTTCCTCCCGACTTCTACTCTCCATCTTCTTTTTTTTTCAATATTCAAATATTGACTCGCATTATTAAGTTGATAATCTGAAGGCGATTGTGAGTGTTGTTGAGTAAATCAAGTATCTGATAAAGTGATTTTCTTATGGATTTGAAGAAAGCAAAAATGGTTTCTTGGGCTTCTGGACCTAATCTTTGTCAGGTATACATTACTCATTGAGTCTGTTTACTCTCTTTGGTGCTCAAATTTTGAGGTTGATTTTAAATTTTTTTATATGCGACTATGAATTAATTTCACTGTTTATTCTATACATAGATATAGATTTGTGTCTGTTGCAGAATATCACAACGATGAATTTTCTTGCAGAATCCTACTCCATTACCTTTTTAAAAAAATGGTTTACTGTTCTTATGAGTTCTATGATTTTGTTTGTTAGATTAGATTGGGGAAAGAAGATGCTAACTAGTTTCGCTGCTACCTGTATTATGATGTTCTGTTATGAATGAGTGGCTGGGATTTCGGAAAATCTGGGAAGGGAAAGTTATGGATTTTGATAGTACTAAAAGATTTGGACAAATAGATTAAGATCAGATAAATTCTAAAACCTAGCGGGAATCAGTTAATGACCTTGAGATTTTTCAAATCACTCTCAAATCAATCATGAAACATTTTCAAGGCCATTAACTGATTCCATTTTCAACTTTATAACAATGCATGAATCATTTCATAAGAATAATAAATCAAAAATAGAATAAATGTGTTTCCATGTATACACTACCATTATTATGACCCAAGACAACTTGTTATAACAAGTTATGTTATTTCTGAACCAAGAAATCTCACTTAACAATTTCCATTTTTCTTCACGAATCCTTGATTTTCTACCCTTTGTCATCACACTTGTACTGCTTTTTATTCTGATAAGAAGGTACATGTGTGAATTTATGATAAGAAATGAGATCAACACTGGGAGAGGAGCAGGTTTATTTAAGTGATGTGTTTGTGCCATTTCTGCCAAGAGATTCTTTAGAGTGGGATGTTAATAGATTAAAAGAAAGATGCAGCTTGATGCAGATCATATAAAATATTCATTAAAAAAGCCCAACTTAGAATCATACTAATCCCAACCCACAAGGTAGTCCTTTGACAAGAACTTTCATCAATTTTATTCTTGGTCTTATATTGTCTTATATTTTGTAGAATGTAGAGATATCAACAACGTTCCTAATAACTGGTAATGATAGGAGGAGAGTAAGTGACATGATAAATGTTACTGACAGTAACATGTTCCTTGCTTAAAAGTGCATCTTCTTGCATAGGTGTTTTTTCTTATCATGTTTGACATATAAGTTACAATTGCAAGATCTGTAAACATAGTGAACATGAAGGAAAATGATGAGTTTATACTCTACGATTTTCAGCCTATCCCTTAGCTTGAATACTGTCATCTCCATTTAAGCTCCAAAAAATTGTCAATTTAAGTAGATTGCCCCAACCCTCTTGCTGGTTTTCCATTGTTTTGTGCTTATAATTTTTCTGTCAATTCATCACATCTAAAGGATTGCTGAAAGATGTTTATGTTTGTTGTCTAATGTCCATAGACTCTGCATGCTTCTAACTGTTAATTACACTTTTAAATCCATCTTACTCATGCTGAGTCAAAAAAAGAAAACAAATTGGGATGAATATTTAGTCACCTTTCTCCCTTTGGATAGAAGATGACCCCGCTGATTTGGTACCTCTTCGCAAGATGCACCCAAATGTTTGAGTTGTTAATTGAAAATTGTTCCTAACTTTTTGAAGGTAGAGAAAACATGAAGAAGTGATGTGGTGGTGTTATTTTCGAAGGAGATATTTAAGTTTAGTATTAAGGACATGTCAATTTGACATGCTTTCAGTTTTACTTATCAAGAACATTAATTGCTTTAGTTTTTTCCAGTTTCTCCTTAACAAGTTCGCATATTTTACCATTCAACATTATCAGGTAAAACATTATCAAGAAGAGGATTTCCCATCAAAAGTCAGTAGGGGATCTCAACATCTTCTTCAGCTGCTACAAGGGCGGCTTTCTTACAATTTTTTGGCTAAATGGAAATGCCCTCCCAAGGTAATCTAAGTTTTAGATGAAAGGAGGTGTCTTTATATGCATAGTTTCTGCACACATTATTGTAATATCCAAGTTAATGTTGTTATTTGTAGTTTAACTTGAATGAGAAATGGCGTGTGGTTGCGGGTGAAGAAAGTAAAGAAGCAGGAGATCAGGAGCATAGAGAAAAGACAGTGCTTGAGGTGGTTTTTCCTTCTCAGTCTGCAATTCCTCCGAAGTAAGTAATTTTGGACTATCTCTTTGGTTTATAGCTTCTTTATGTCAATTTACTTGGGTTGTAATCCATTGTTTTGGTTATTGTCGTACAGTCCTTGCACCTCATCGGATCTGGACCAAAATTATGATGATATCCGAACTCCAGCAATCCGAATCATTCCTATTGAAGAAGAAGCAGATGTACAAGTTCCATCCCGAACCATCAGCAGCAAATCGCCAGATGCATGTCTACTTAACAGTTCCTCAACATCTGTCAGTATAGTTACATCTCAAAAGCTACCTGCTAATGAAAAATCACTTCCCCAGTCTTTATCAACCCTCCAAAATCCCAGGAAACCTTCAAACAACTCTCCTCTTTCTGCAAAATGGCCTTCTAACGTTCAATCTACTCTTCCATATCTTTCAAGATGTCGAAATCTGAAGGGATCTGAGCAAAACAAAATTTCTCCTAAACCACCAGTTGTTCCCCAGTTTCAGCCGACATTTAAAAATATCAGCACTCAAGACCAGACTGAAATTTATCCAGACCAACGAGCTAATCAAAGCTATGGGCCCAAAGATCAAAGAATATGTGAAAAACAGAATATTCCCCAGCACAAGTTTGAAGTTTCTGGAATGCCACCTGCTAAGCACAACCCTGTCACCCAACACATTCTTGGTTCTGAGGGTGATTTGACAGTTGTTATCGCCACAGCTGTAGCTGCTCTTGCAAAAAGTCAAGAACATGATAATCTGATCGATACCAACTTATTAGTTGGGCTTCTCCTTAACCCAAAAGAAATACCAAAGCTGGTGAATGAACGTGGACTGGCTACCAATGCCAAAACTAGTGCTGCAACAATTGATTCTCTTGTTGCTGTCATGTCTAGACCAGTGGATCTACCGGTTCCCTTGCCTAGGACAAAACCCGATCAGGTAATTATCAAGCCCATTAATGAATACCAAGCTCCCCATGCAGGACCTGGACCAATTTTGGGGCCAAGGCCAATGGCAAAATCTGTGCCCTTGACGATGACTAAGCCTGAAACATCTGTGAATAGTAATTTGGTTAATGAACAAAGGCCCCCTCCTCATGTGGGAACTGCAAACATTAGAGAGAGTAAGTCACTAGCTCACTCCACTTCAGACCTAAATCTGGAAAAGATTAAGAAATTGATCAACAAATATGGAACACCTGACAATGTAGGAGGAAAGCCCTGGGTTAAATCTGAGTTGGTTCCTTCTTCTTGTTCCAAATATGATGTGGTTTTACCCAATGTTGGACATTCATACCCTTTCTCCTCGATGACCAGTCCTACCCCTCTTCACAAGGATATCAATTACTGCAAGTCCCTAATCAAGCAACATGGAGAAATTTGTGAGTCTGCAGTTGATGAGCGTTTGCAAAATACCAATCCTCGTGGTAATTATACACGGGTGCCAGGTTTGTTGATGAACAAAAAACAGATTCAGTGCAGTTCAACGCGTTGTGTTTTCTTTAATAAACCTAGAGGATGTCGTAATGGTTCCTCTTGTCCCTTCCTGCATGATATATCCGGACAAAAGAGGTCTGGGGGGATTTTGGAAGCTCGGGATTTAAAGAGAATGTCGTAAGTGAGGACCTTACTAGTAGGACATGACTCGAGAGGTATTTTTTTTTCTTTTTATACAGAAAACTAGTGAAATGTACAGCTGTTAGAACAAAAGCTCTTTAAAACTTGGATTAAAATTTTAGAATCTGAAAAACATGAATCCAGTATGAAGTTGGATGGAGCAGTTTTTGCCTTGACAATAATTCCCTTTCGACAGGTTTTGCTGAAGTCGTTTTTTAGCTCTCCTTGCAATTACAATCTAGTATACTGACCCCTTCCCTCACTTTAAAAATGAAAAATGAAAAAGTGATGGTACGTTTGATATCAATAGTGGATTTTAGATAATTTTATTTAATACTATAATATAGTGGGAATTGATAAGGTAATGAGGCATTTGACAGACTGAAGTTCATCAAAATTCTTTAAAAGGTCGTGAAAATTGTACTAAATCGAACAACAATAATAATGGGAAACAGAATTTTTTTATCAAAGTAGGCCATTATTAAAGTCAATTTACCAAGATAATATGTTTTTTTGAATTTTTACAAAACTAATATTAATGTAGTTCTTAGTAACGTTTTAGGTAACATTTTATTCAAAAAAATTCAATAATAAAAAGACAAAAATCTGACAAAGTAAACAGACACAAAACGTTATTGTCAGTAATGTTTTATAATTCGTTATTTTGAGACACGTTTTATGCTAAAACGTGACTCACAGTAACGTTTATCCGAAAAAACGTTATTGTGAGTCACATTTTAACTGTAAAACGTGCCTCAAAGTAACGAAATATAAAACGTTACTGGCAATATCGTTTTATGTCTTGAATAAAATATTACCTAAAACGTTACTGAGAACTACGTTTATACTAATTTTGTGAACTTTTTAAAAAATATATTATTTTGATAAATTGATCTTAATAATGACTTACTTTGGTCAAAACTTTTGGGAAAGAGGGAATATTTCTTGGCCCCACCACCTCTTTAATAGGAAAGAGGAAATTAAGAGAAAATGGCCAAAAGCCCCCCTAAACTATTATCGAATTCTCAACTACACATTTATTCTTTACGGGGTCCTATCACCCCCTGAACCTTTTAAAAGTAAAATATCTAGCCCGCTATAAACTCACACCCAGATTTGTATTAGGCAGTGGTCTACACGCGCTGCCACGTAATATTTACTCTTTTTTGTAAAAAAATAATTATTCTTTTATATTTTTATTTTTTTTGCTTTATATTTTCATCTTCTCCTTTTCTCTTTCTTTTCCATTCCTCCATTTCTTTTCTTTGAAGCTTTTCTAGATTTGACGACTATCGCATCTTCAACCTTCATCATAATTTTAAACACTAGGAAATCTTGTTCTAAAAAACTCTATCACTGATATTGTTTCTTCTTCCGCTATTATAACAATTGATGTTTACAATAATTTCAAGAAGTGGGTTTTATTCATCAAAGGATTCAAAATTCGTGTTCGTATCTCTCTACAACGTTGAGCATTGAGTCTAATTCATCAATACAACGCTTATTCGAGTTTTTATATGACATTTTTGATAAATTTTGAGAGAATTCAAAATTCAAATTAGGGACCTAATTAAGGAATTAAAGCAGATTATGAATCCCAAATTCAAGATTTGAAGTAGAAATGAACATTATTCAAGATTTTAAGTAGAAATGAATATTAACAACTAAATCCTACTTACTTTTGAGAGGAAATCGTGATTTTTTTACAAAAGGAACAAGGATTAATGGTGTGGAAGAAGAAATAATGAATTTTTTAAATGTGGGAAAATGACTAGTGGAGAAGAATTTTTTCGTCAAATTTCTGCTTCTGATGCGCCTAGAGGCAGTGACAACACCTCCCATGACAGCTCACCACTTAGGTGTATAGAAAATAAAGTAATATAAAGTTTAGGTGGATAATAGGGCACCCATGAAGTTAGAGTGTATCGTTGAGATTTCGCGTATAAAATGGGGGGTTTCAGACCATTTTCTCAAAAATAAATGAACTGATGATTGGTGGGCGCACTTTTCTAAAAATTCTGAATTAACTTAGTTCATGACCAGAGTTTGTATTGGCAAATGCTTTAACTTAAATTACAGTTGAGAGGAAATAGATAGACTAACAGTGCATTTTTAGTCGAATGAAGCAAAAGATTTAATTGAAACTTCATCGGGAGAAAAAGGGATTCATTAAGGTAAGAAACAGAGAGATCAGCCTTGGGGGAGGAACTTGATCGAAAAAGAAAAAGGGATTCATAACTAATAAGTAATACTTGGATTGACAATTCAAACGGAATTTAATTGGAAAAAGAAAAAGGGATTCATAACTATTGATACTTGAGTTGACAATCAAACGAGAAGAAAGATAAATTCATCATCGCTTTCAAATGACAGCTAGCACAAATTCATTTTTGAAAAACATTTTGTGGTTTGATTTATGAAAGAAAAACGTTTTTGATAAATATTATTATTTTTACTTGAATAAAAAATAATTTTTGATTTTTTTTAAGGGAATGGGGGTGGTAGGGAGGTCGAGGACAGAAGTGAAAAAAATGTGAAGTTGAATATATTTTTTAAAGACAAATTAATTCTTTTGGCGGGTGGGGGGCTTGTCGTGTGTGTATTGGGGGGTGGGGTGGAGTCAAGGATAGGGTTGAAAAAAAATGAAATTTTGAAGTTTGAAAATATTTTTTAAACCAATTTCAAAAATTTTATTGCTGTGTGTGTGGGTGTCGAGGATAGGGGTGAAAAAAATAAAATTTTGAAATGATTTTTTTTTTTTTTTAAAAACAAACTTAATTTTTTTAAAGGTATTTTTGTTTTTACATAGACTTATCCTATGATATTATGTTAATGTGTTACTAATACCTCCATCCCATTTGGAGGTATTAGTAATACATCCTATAAAATCATGTAGGAGGATTAGTTATACACAGGTCAAAATTCCTATCAAACATAGTACTCCTTCTGTCCTTATTTACTTGTCTACATTTTCTCTTTTAGATGTTTATTTGTCCATTTTGACAAATTAAGAAAGGACAAACTTTTTTTCTATTATATACCCTCATTTAAATTTTTTAAAAATTTTTAAGTTTTAATTCATCCTTCTTGAAACCGTATTTAATATTATATTTTATTATTATGTTAATGTGTGTACCTTTTCTAAAATAGATAACAAAATAGGAACTAGGAATTACTAAATAATATCTTATATAATATGTGGATTATTTCATCTAATGCAGCCTCCCAAAAGATCACTAAGAGTATTATTGAGTAAAAAAGTTTTAACAAAATTTATTACCTTATCGAAATCTGCACTAAAAATAATTGAGTAAAATAAATTTATTTTTTACGCGTGTATTTAGAAAATTATCCAGGTAATCTATTTACAAACTATATTCTAAATTACTATTTTTTTTCCGCGTATTTATAAAAAGTGACACTGCCTATCTTCACACGCTACCTCTTCTGATTACAAATTACGCTATATAACTTCATACGCTACTGACGCGCATTGTACAACTTTATTCGCTACCGGCACATACAACATACGCTACCGGCGCATAGCGGATTGCTGCTCTTAACTGTCACATTGACGATTGACGATCCAAACCCTATACAAGAATGGGAGGTAATGCTCTTGAAATTCTTGCATGCGTAATACGTTGTAATTTTTGAATGCTTTTTAAAGAAAAAATCAAGAACTTTGAAGTTAAGGAGCTTGATGGAATGCGTGGGAGTTGCTGGGTTTTTGAGGGGTCTTGTGAATTTAAGGAGGCACAAAGGTTCTTGAGGAGTTGGTTTTCAACAGCACCTCAAGGCTGGTGCGACCAAGGTGCACTAATTTACCCTTTCTAAATTTCAATGTTCTTTATGATTTTACAAAGATGTGTAGTTGTTCTTGAAGGCCCCACTTCTGTTAGCGCCCTTCGTGGCCATTTTCCTTTACATGGTCTAAGACTTTGATTGTTTCTTCAAAAAGGAAAAGTGTGCCACCTAAGAAATAGGGAATTATTTGGTTCATCTTTTTTTATTTGTAAATGTTTTGAGGATCAGTAGAGGTGAGCTGCTGAGAACTTTTAATTGTTTAGACTAATTGCACCTGTGAATTTGTGTGTTGCTTGCACAAAAGGTATTGACCAGTGAGGCACTTCAACGAATTGTCATGTTCCTTTGTTTGCTGCTTCCTTATAGGGCTGTTCTTGTGTTTGTTGTTCTTATAGGTATCTGTTGCTATAGGCATTGGGACCTGCTTTGTTAAGGTGGTATCAGTTCCTTTCCCACCCCTTACTAAACCACCCTTTTCATGATATTACTCATGCACTCCCTCTTTTGTTATTCTTTATACTCACTCTACTCGGTTTTATACACAATGAAGATTTAGAGGTTTTCATCTGTCGATGTTCAATCAAACATGTTGCTTGTCCAGTTAAAGAACTGTTAATTTGGCATGGCACCTCATGTTTTGGGTCTATGAGATTTCTCGAGAAATTTTATTTTTTGGTCTTTCTTTTCTGTCTCATAGGCATACTGATGCTTGCAGCCATGCGGGGTGTCAAAGCTTTTGAGCTATCATGTTTGGGCGTCGCAAAGTTAAACTTTTTTTGTTGGTAAATCACCCTTTTGTGAAACTACACGACCTTCTACTTTTCTTTTTCTTTTATTACTCTATCTTATATAACTCAAAAAAAGCAATTTAGCATGATCTTTTTGAGCTGAAAAACTGTTGATTGGCATGTCAGCTCAGGTGGGTATATGAGATTTAGCAGAAAGTTCCATTTCATGGTGCATTTTCTCTGTCTCATAAGGCTTACTGATGCTTGCAGCCATGACAGACCGATGCTCGCAGTCATTCTGGGTGTCAAAGCTTTTGAGCTAATCATGTTTGGTTGTTGCAAGTTCAATATTTTTGTCGCTAAATCATCCTTTTTGTGAAACTACACGACCATCTTCTTTCTTGTTCTTATTACTCTCTCTTGTATAACTCAAACAAGACAATTTAAATCTCTCTTGAGCTGAAATACTGTTGCTTGGCATGGCACCTCAGGTGGGTATATGAGAATTAGGAGAAAGTTCCATTTCATGGTGCATCTTCTCAGTATCATAAGGCTAACTGATGCTTGCAGCCACGGACAGATTCCAAAGCTTTTGAGTTGGTTCATTTTTCGTCTTAGAAAAATTCAGTTTCCTTCCCACCCTCCCCAAACCACCCTTTTCGTGAAATTAAACATGACGTTCCTCTTTTTTTTTTTTTAATTACTCTCACTGCTCTGTTTATTAAACCATGAGGATGTGGAGGTTTTGTCTTTTGTGGAGGTTCAATAATTCTTCTTGCTCTTCAGGTGGGTCTATGAGATTGGAATTAAATTTCCATCTCATGGTGTTTCTTCTCCATCTCACACGACTGATTGATGCTTGTAGCCACGACAAATTTCAATTCTTCTGAGCTTATCATGTTTTGGCTTTGTAGAGTTCAATTTTGTTTCTTTCACCAAACCACCATTTTGGTGAAATCACACACGACCTTCCATTTTTCTTATTTTTAGTGCTATTTCCAGTATAACTCAAAAGGGCAATCAAACCTGTTCTCTCTTGAGCTGAAAAACTGTTTTTTGGCATGGCATCTCATGTGGGTCTCTGAGATTTTTGAAGAAGTACCATTTCTTGGTGGTTTTTCTCTGTCTCTTAAGGGTTGCAGCCATGACATGTTTCTAAGCTTTTGAGCTGATTTGTGTTTTGGGTTGAGTTTCTTACCCATCCCTCATCGTACCACCCTCTTTGTGATATTACACATGCACTTTCTCTTCTCTTGTTCTTTGTACTCACTCTGCTCCGTTTTATATACAATGAGGATTTGGAGGTTTTCATCCATCGAGGAATCAAAAATGTCTCATGTCAAACTAAAGAACTTTTGCTTGGCACGGCACTTCAGGCGGGTCAATGAGATTTTGGGAAATGTTCCACTTATTGGTCTTTCTTCTCTGTCTCCTAGGCAAACTGGTGTTTGCTGCCATGCTGGGTTTCGAAGCTTTTGAGATAATCATGTCCGGGCGTTGCAAAGTTCAATTGTTTTGTCACTATATCATCCTTTTGGTGAAACTACATGACCTTTTGCTTTTCTAGTTCTTATTACTCACTCATGTAAAATTCAAAAGAAGCAATTTAACAAGTTCTCTCTTGAGCAGAAAAACTGTTGCTTGGCATGACACCTCAGGTGGGTATATGAGATTTAGGAGTAAGTTCCATTTCATGGTGCATCTTCTCCGTCTCATAAGGCTTACTGATGCTTGCAGCCAAGACAGATTTCAATGTTTTTGAGTTGATTTGTTTTTCGGCTTGGCACTTCCTCAAATCACCCTTTCCGTGAAATTAGACATGACCTCCTTTTTTTGTTATTCTTATAACTCTTTCTCCTCTGTTAATAAACCATGAGGAAGTGGAGGTTTTTTTCTTTTGTGGAATTTCAATCGAACTTGTTTTCTCTCAAGGTGATTAAACTGTTGCATGGTAGTAGCTACGACACCTCAGGTGGGTTTATGAGATTTTGGAATTAAATTTCTATTTCATGGTGTTTATTCTTCATTTAACTTGACTAGCCAATGCTTGTAGCCACGACAGATTTCAATGTTTTTGTTCTAACCGTGTTTTGGCTTCGCATGTTCAGTTTTTTTCTCTCACCAACCTCCCTTCTGGTTATATTATGCATGACCTTCCATTTATTTTAGTACTCTCCCCGTATTACTCAAAATGGCAATCATTCAAACATGTTCTCTCTTGAGCTGAATAACTGTTGCTTGGTTGGCATCTCATGTGGGTTTGCGTGATTATGGGGAAAGTTCCATATCATTTTGTACTTTTCTCTGTCTCACAAGGTTAACTAATGCTTGCAGCCATGACAGGTTTCTAAACTTTTGAGCTGATTCATGTTTCTTTCCCACCCATCACCTAACCACTTGCACTCCCTCTTTTCTTATTCTTAGTACTCACTCTGCTCTGCTATATACACAATGAGATTTGGAGGTTTTCATCCATTGTATACAATCAAACATGTTGCTTGTCGAGCTAAAGAACTGTTGCTTGGCACAACACTTCCAGTGGGTCTGTGAGATTTTGGGATAAATTCCATTTTTTGTTCTTTCTTCGGTGTCTCATAGACAAACTGATGCTGGCAGCCATGTTGGGTTTCAAAGCTTTTGAGCTAATCGTGTTTGGACGTCTCAAAGTTCAATCTTTTTGTCGGCAAATCAACCTTTTGGTGTAGCCGCACGACCTTCTACTTTTCTTGTTCGTATTACTCTCTCTTGTATAACATGTTCTCTTTTTTTGGCTAAAATTTGATGCTTGGCATGACACCTCAGGTGGGTATATGAGATTTAGGAGAAAGTTTCATTTCATGGTGCATCTTCTCTGTCTCATGAAGCTAACTGTTGCTTTGCAAGTTCAACTATGACAGATTTCAAAGATTTTCAGTTGATTCGTGTTTTGGCTTGGCAAAGTTCAGTTTCCTTTCACCTCACCCCAAACCACCCTTTTTGTGAAAGTGCACATGACTTTCCTCTTTTCTTATTCTTACTCTTTCTGCTCAGTTTGAATACCATGAGGATATGGAGATTTTGTCTTCCCTGGAAGTTCAATTGAACTTGTTTTCTCTCGAGCTGATGAAACTGTTGCTTGGCACGGCACCTCAGGTGGGTCTATGAGATCTTGGAATTAAATTTTTATTTCATGGTGTTGCTTCTCCATCTCATACTGTTAACTTATTTGTTTATGATTTTTGGACTACCAGGAAAAGGAAAAAAAATATGTAGGTCGCTTGAAGATGAAACTGAATATTTGAAGTTTATGTTCTCTTTGCTTTTCACATTTCATATTGTTTCTTACTTCATTTTTTTCCTTTTAATTGTGGATCCTTATTTTTGCTCTCACAGAACCCAAAAATGCTCTCTGCAAGCAATACAAGCAATCAACTTGAATAATGTAAGCTTTTAGCTCAGTGCTGTCTTTATTCAGTTATAAATTCTTGGAAGTCATTTAGATTCTGGACTGTGATTTTCTTGAGCCTGAGATCTACCATTATCTTGGCAAGGCAACCCGGTAAGGCATCTCCGTTGGGAAACCGAGGTCTGCTTTCATGGGGGTTGCTTTGTCTCCTTTTTGCCTTAGAAAGAATCGGCCAAATGACGCTTGAAGTTTTGTGAATTCCCTTTTGTTAGGTTAGCCTAAAAAGGCAAGAATGAGGCAGAGCATGGTATTTCTATCAAGGTTGGTTGCCCCTCTCTCTCTATGCTTCGCCTACGATTCTCCATTTTAAAACAAACCAATAGCCCTTAAGAAAAGAGAGAGATAGAGAGAGTTCTTTCGTTTCGACCCTCATCTATGAGATGAGGAATCCCTCATAGCTAGATTCATCAGTAGCTTAGAAACTAGGAACTGGATGAGGGGAAGTCAATCTAATCTCGGCCTAAGAGTGCACTTGAGTTTCTGGGTTTCTTTGCATTTTTGCACCCTTGGACGTATGCTCATATGGAGACACACAACTATACTACAACAACATGACTATGAAAATTATTAAAGAGGCAGTGATGATTTCTGGGTTAACTAAATTCGGGCAATGAGATTACCCAACCCGTATCTTGGTGAGGCAATCCGGTGTGTCCTGTAATTGAGACGCATAACCCACACATGCAATCATGTATTGCAGCCATGGCGTGGTTGGCTTCTCTTTGGTCTTATCATAACACAAATCTGAGCCTCAATTTGCTAAAGAAAGAAAAGGGTAAAGGGTCAAATTTACACCTTTACTATGCATAAGTTGCAATATCTTTTCCATGATTAATGTGGGAGATATTGAACCCACACCCTTCTGATTTGCTGTTTTAATGCTTTTCATTCGTAGTGTATCTCCATATTTTGTTCTTGAAGGCCCCACTAGCACAACTGCAAAAAAAAATTATGTAGTTTAATCGTAAGAAAAGTTGTGATTTGTAGTACTTTGGATGTAGACACTCAATTAGACATACTTCCGTAAATACCATCAGTGGTCATTTTCCTTTACATGGTCTTGATTTTTTTATTGCTTCTTAAAAGTTGAAATTGTGACTTGTAAGAGAATGGGGAATTGGGACCTGCTGTAGTAAGGTGGGTGATAATGGTAAGTATTACTTTCTTTGACATTGATCTAATGCACTTTGATGTGCAGTTTCTTTCTTTTGAAGGATCATCTGATGTTAACTTTCTTTTGAAGGATCATCTGACGTTGCACTTTCTTTTGAAGGATCATCTGAAGTTGTACCTTCTTTTGAAGAATCATCTGAAGTTGTACCTTCTTTTGAAGGATCACCTGGAGTTATACTTTCTTGTTGGACAACTTCTTGAGTCCCCCCCACTAAGGATCGGGGTAAGGTCTATCTACCAATGCTCGCTTTTAATTATAGAATAAGGCTGTGATGATGACATTTGAGGTTGTATAAATCTTCCTCTTTTCTTATTCTTATTACTCTCTCTGCTCTGTTTATAAACTACGAGGATGTGGAAGTTTTGCCTTTTGTGGAAGTTCAATAAAACTTGTTTTCTCTCGAGCTGATTGAACTGTTGCTTGGCACTGCATCTCAGATAGAACTACGAGATTTTAGAATTAAATTTCTATTTCACGGTGTTTCTTCACCATCTCATTCGGCTAACTAATGCTTGAAGCCTAGACGGATTTCAATGCTTTGGAGCTTATTGTATTTTTGCTTCATGAAGTTCATTTTTTCTCATTAAACCACCCTTTTGGTGAAACTACACATCACCTTTCAGTTTTATCTTTTTAGTACCCTCTCCGGTATAACTAAAACTGCAATCAAACAATTTCTCGCTTGAGCTGAAAAACTATTACTTGGCATGGCATCTCATGTGGGTGTGTGAGATTTTGGAGAAAGTTCCGTTTCATGGTATTTTTCCTCTGTCCCACAAGGGCAACTAATGCTTGCAGCCGTTCCAGGTTTATAAGCTTTAAGGGTAACTTATGCGGCCAATACTTGGGTCGGGCATTGGAGCTACCCTTATCTTTGCAAGGCAACCCTGTAAGGCATCTCCATTTTGCAACTGAGATCTGCAGCCATGCCGGTTGCTTTGTCTTCTTTTGGCTAGTTTTATAACGAATTTGAGCCTTAGGAGAAAGAATTGGCCTAATGACGCTTGAAGTCTTGTGAATTCCCTTGTGTTAGGTCAGCCTATAAAGGCAAGAATGAGGCAGCAGGGACTATGGTATTTCTTATCAAGGTTGGTTGCCCTTTTCTCTATGTTTTGCCTGTGATTCTCCATTTTTGAAAAAAAAAACTAACAGCCCTTAAAAAAAAAGAGAGTGAGAGAGTACACTTGAGTTCTTGCCTGCATTCTTCTTAAGAAAATTATGTTTTTAAGGAATTCAAAGAAACAATAGTTTTCAAGAATGTATTGGCATGGTACGAATTAAATGAAATTTGAGAAACCTTTGATTCTCCTTTTTGTGAGCATAAGGAGAAAGAATTACTCATTTATTTTTCATCGTGTAATAATCCACATTTTATTTACCAAATAGCAGTTTTTACGTTATTATTAGAACATAACTAATACTTCAACAAGTAATGTCTTCCTCTCTTATATTGCAATTTTGTGACAGTACTGTAGAAAAAAAGACTGATATATAGAGTGCTTTATCATGATTCTTCACTTTGTGATGGTCTGGTGAAAGTATATTTTTGTGTAGAAACTTAGGTGCATATCAAAATAAATGTACGTCCCTTTTTACATAGTCAAGGATTATGATTTTTTTGTTTGATTCTTGCATTTATCTTCGTTGAGCATTATAGTCATTGTGATTTTCTTCAGCATGCTGAAGATGAGCGAATTCGTTTGGAAGAATTACGTGAGATGGCAATGATTGTCTAAAAATTCATTGAAATGTAATTTCGACTTGTCGAGTCTGTACTTTATTTTAGTATCAGGTCCTCTCTTGAAAAATCAGGACAAGAACTATCTTGATTCTGAGCAAGAATTGGTATCTTCATTTTGATAGTAGGTAACATTGGTTTGGAGTCTGGTGGGGAAGAATTTAAACTCTTTATGATAGGTACATTGATTTTGATTTTTGAGTCTTTGACCACTCTTTTGCAGTTCATGCCTGAAATAGCAATTGCTACTCAACTATACTGATCAAATTATAAATTGGGGTTGGGGGATCTGCAATAATCATTCTCAAGCTTCAAGATCATTTACCAGGTAAGCTACGATCTTTGTTTATATTTTCATTTCACAAACCAGTCTATGGAACTTGCCATTTACCAGAAATTCCATTGCACTAAATTTTTCAATGTTCATTAAAGTTAAACCTTACTCCGAGCATGAAGTTACATGTTTTGGTTAAAGCTGGAACTTAAATCTAATCCAGAGGCAGCTAATATCTGTCATGCTTTTTGCGGTAACATTCTCTGCTGTCATATTATACATTCAAAAAGTTAAGTACATGTAAGCCATTTGCAAATCAGTCTTTGAAGGGAAAGGCATATAAGTACTGATAGTAGTTGTTAATGTAGGATTAGTTGCTCACCTACATTTCTCAAACCTTTTACTACACTTTATAGCTTGTTCTCTTCAACCTTCATATTCCTCCTCCTGAAGGATCTATGCCTGTCTAAATGTGGAAAACAAATCGCGACAATCACTTCTTCTCAGGCTAGTTATTCCTTTCTGAGGTGACAATAACAGTTTATATCAGTTCTGTGCTCCATCATGTTGAAAGCCAGAAGGGTTTTTGAGGGTTTAAGGCTTTCAAGTGTCATTTGAGTGCATTTTCTCTTGAAGTCCATTTTATGTTTTAATTGGGTTTATTATTGCAGTAACTTATAAGGAAAGAGCTTTTTTGTTCTAGTACCATCATTAACAAGAGAAGGATTGTTTTTTTGGTAGTACAGGTTCTGTGAATTTTGTGTGTTAATCTAACTGCTGTGGATCTGTTAGAATTTGTTTAACAGGTTAGTCCATCGACACTAACTAGCTCTCATAATTTAATCCTTCGTCTAACTCCAATATTTCTCATGGAATATTTGCTCAAGTTCTCTGAAGAATGTATTTGCAACCCACAGCTTGCTGATACAGATGGATCATCAATAGTGCCCCTATTAGTGAATAAACAAGGCTTGCGGTGTAAGTTATTATTTAATTTGTGAATTTGGAGCTATCATGATGCTCTCTCGCCTCCAACCACCCCCACATATGAAAACGAGAGAACAGGGAACTACAATCTGAAGTTATTTAAGATATTTTTCTTTATTCTTGTTGCCTTCATTTTCATTTTATAATGGAACAATAGCTCTGATATGGACAAAGTGGAACAGATACGAGGAATGAGAATTGTGCATCTTCTCTGTCTCATAGAGCTAACTAATGCTTGCAGCCATGTCAGATTTCAAAGCTTTTGAGTTGATTCGTGTTTTGGCTTGGTAGAGACCAATTTCCTTTCCCCCTAACCCAAACCACCTTTTCGTGAAATTACATGACTTTCCACTTTTGTTATTCTTTTTCTACTCTTTCTGCTTAGTTTATGAACCATGAGTATATGGAAGTCTTGTCTTCCATGGAAGTTCAATAAAACTTGTTTCTCTCGAACTGAATGAATCACTGATCAAAGAGCTGTAAAATTGTTGTTTGGCATGGTATCTCATGTGGATTTCTGAGATTTTGGAGAAAGTTCCATTTCATGGTGTTTTGATCTTTGTTTCACATGACTAACTAATGCTTGCAGTCGTGATAGGTTTCTAAGCTTTAGAGCTGATTCGTGCATTGTGTTGAGCCACCCCTTACCGAACCACCCTTTGTGATTGCACATCCACTCCCTCTTTTCTTATTCCTAGTGTTGACTTTTCTCTTTTCGTGGTATTCACAAATACATATTTTAAGGAAATGAAGAATTCTTGCATGAATGCTTGATAAAAAATTCAAGAACTTGTTGGCGAATTATAAGGAAATCACAGAAATCGTAGTTTTCAAGAATATATTGGCATTGCACATATAAAGGAAACTTAAGAAATCTTTTTTCTTAAAAAAATTATGTTGTTATTCTTGCAATGTGTGTTAATGATGTTCAAAAATTTGTTTTTACCTTTTTAGTGTGATTGGGAGCATTAAGCGAATGCCTCCGGCTATTTGGAGCTTAACCCAGTTTCCACCAGGTATGTGTTGCTATAGGCATTGGGACCTGCTATGGTAAGGTGGATGGCAATGGTAAGCATTACTCGTGCAGTAAGTTTTGTTCAATTTATTATATATTACTTCATTATCTGAAGTTGTGATTTCTTCCGAAGGATCATCTCAAGTTGCACTTTCTTTTGAAGAATCATCTGATTCTGAAGTTGTACTTTCTTTTGAAGGATCATCTCAAGTTGCACTTTCTTTTGAAGAATCATCTGATGTTTATTTCTTTTGATAGATCATCTGAAGCTGAACTTTCTTTTGAAGGATCACCTGAAGTTGTACTTTCTTGTTGGGCAACTTCTCGAGTCCCCACAAAGGACAGGGTAAGGATCCACCAATGTTAGCTTTTAATTATAGGATAAGGCTGTGATGATGACAAATGAAGTTGTATAGGGTTGGGTCTGGCATTGGAGCTACCCTTATCTTGGGGAGGCAACCCGTTAAGGCATCTCCGTTTTGCAGCTGAGGTCTGCAGCCATTGTGGTTGTTTTGTCTCCTTTTGCCTGGTTAAATCTGAGCCTTAGGAGAAAGAATTAACTGAAAGACACTTGAAGTCTTGTGAATTTCCTTCTGTTAGGTTAGCCTAAAAAGGCAAGAATGAGGCAGCAGAGAGCATGGATTTCTATCAAGGGTGGTTTCCTTCTCTTTAAACTTTTCCTATGAGTACATTTTGTAAAACAAATCAACAGCTCTAAAAAAAGAAAGAGAAACTGAGAATACACTTGAGTTTCTGGGTTTCTTTGCATTTTTGCATTCTTAGACGTATGCTCATAAGGCAATACACACAACTATGCTACAACAGCTTGACTCTGAAAATTATTAAAGAGGCAGTGATGATTTTTGGGCTAACTAAATTTGGGCATTGAGATTACTCAACCCGTATCATTGCGGGGAAACCTGGTATGGCCTGTAATTGAGACGCATAAATCACACATGCAATCGTGTATTCCAGCCATGGCGTGGTATGCTTCTCTTTGGCCTTACATAACACAAATCTGAGCCTCAATTTGCTAAAGAGAAGGGAAAAGGGTCAAAGTTACCTCTTTTTATGCACAAGGGGAAATATCATTTCCATGATTAATGTGGGAGATATTGAACCCACGCACGTCGTTCTGATTAGCAATTTTGATGCTTTTAATTCGTAATGTGTCGTCATCTTTTGATAAAAACCAGCTCAAGAATGAGGCATTCGAACGAAATGTTGAATTATTGAGGGGTGGTTGCCTCCCTCCTCTTGTAAACCCTAATTCTATTTTTGAAGTTTTGCATTTCTATGCATCTTTTATAGCTTCAAAGTTTAGATTCCTCCCACTGATGGATATATGTCTGTCTAAATGTGGAAAAAAACATGACAATCACTTCTTTTCAGGCTGGTTAGTCCATTTTTAGGTTTCAATAACACTGTTAATATCAGTTCTGTGTTCCATCTTGTTGAAACCAAGAAGGATTTTTGAGGGTTTAACCCTTTGAAGTGTCATTGTTGTGTATTGTCTCTTAAGGTCCATTTTATGTTTTATTTGGGTTGATTATAGCCAGTGAATTATGAATTGTAACTTTAAGGGAAGATCTTTTTTGTTCAAACATTCAAATGAGAGGCTCTGATATCTATTTTTGACGTTTCTTTGTTGGAAATTGTTACTAATACTCATTGGAGGCCAAACGGACATTGTAAGGATTTGAAGGTTAAATTTCTTTGAGTTTTAGTTGTTAGTATTCATTAAGATAGCTTTCAAACAAATCCCCTAGTCTTTGTTCTTGCCATTGTTTACAGGATGACAAGTGTTTGTACCTTGGAATTTGATGATTGTACACAATATATTGGCACACCAGGTAATTCTGTATAAGGATACCTGACGTGCTGGTTTTGTCTTCTGAGGTATCCGGTGCTTCTGAGCTCATCATGATTTGGCTTTGCACAGCTCAATTTTTTTCACTCACCAAACCACCCTTTTGGTGAAATTACACGACTTTCCATTTTCCATATTTTTAGTACTCTTTCCGGTGTAACTCAAAAGGGCAATCAAACATGTTTTCTCTTGAGCTGAATAGTTGTTGCTTGGCATGTCATCTCATGTGGGTATGTGATTGAAGAAGTACCATTTATTGGTGTTTTTTCTATCTCTAAAAGCTAACTAATGCTTGCAGCCATGACATGTTTCTATGCTTTTGAGCTGATTCATGTTTTGAGATGAGTTTCTTTCCCATCTCTCACCGGACCACCCTTTTCGTGATATTACACATGCACTTCCTCTTTTCTTGTTATTATTACTCACTCTACTTTGTTTAATACACAATGAGGATTTGGAGGTTTTCATCTATTGATGTTCAATCAAACATGTCTCATGTCGAACTAAGAAACTGTTGCTTGGCACGGCACTTCAGGCGGGTCTGTGAGATTTGGGAAATGTTCCTTTTTTTGGATTGCATGCATTACTCAACTAATAGGCTGTTTGACGGTTTTGTTCATTAATATCTTACTAATATCTTTTTTATAGATGTTCTTTATTTATTATTTTGTGGTTTTACTTGTAGTTGGGAGAACTGGTATGACTGTACACAACACAAAACATTAATGCTTACATTTTATTTTGGTTTTATTGCAAGATGTTTATGTATATGGCATTCCTGGTACTTCATTTCCTATAAAATACTTCCTTTACCTGTACCGTGTCTAAGAAAAATAGGGAAGGGCTGGAGGGGTGTACACACACTCACATACATACAAAGAGAGATGAAATATAGTTTTTGTTGCTCACTAATGTATGTAGAGATGTTTTGATCACTTCTCCTTGTTGAAGTATAGTTGGGACATACATTTTGGTGCGTAGGTACTTCTAGCCCAGCTTATGGAGAGAGTATATGTGCCTGTTTCTTTCATCTTCTGTTATATTTCCTTTTTGTGTGGCCATTTTATCTTATGGTTTTGAATGCTTGCTTTACACCCGTGACGTTGAAAATACACCATTCAGATGATATGCATGCTTTCCCAGCAAGCTTTGATTGGAAAGGAGAGGCTCTAAGCTCTTAGATTTCTTACATTTCTTTATTGGAAATTGGTAGTTAAACTCACAGGAGGCCAAATGGATATTGTAAGGTTTTAAAGGTACAATTGTTTTGAGTTGTAGTTTGCAGTATCCATTAGGACATGTATGAAACTACTAACTTGGCCTTTGTTCTTGCCATTCTTTACAAGATGGCAGCAAGTGTTTATACCTTGATTATTGTAGACAAAATAATTGTACAACAGGTAATCTGCATATAAGACTACCTGATACATGAGTTGTCTGTTGTTTACTGATACAGGAAATTTCTAGGGATTTCTCTTTGCAGTCATTGTTCGTGATGCTATTACAACCAACCAGTTCGAAGGAAGCAAATGTACTCGAAGTACTTCTAGTTTCTGACAAACAAATATAAAATATTGAATTACAAACATTACTTTCTAAAGCTGTACTATGTCTTGATTGATCTTTTTGTTTGCATATATAATCTGAAAGGCCAAAGAGGGTGTTGCATTCTATGAAAGAGTCTCTGCTAAAGAAACACCTCTGTGCTTTCCAATGTCTCCTTCAAAATTTCCATTTTTGTTATTTTTAGTACTCTTTCCGGTATAACTCAAATTGGCGATCAAACATGTTCTCTGTTGAGCTGACAAACTTGTGCTTGTTATGACATCTCATGTTGGTCATACTTTGGAGAAAGTTTCATTTTATGGTGTTTATTCTCAGTATCAGAAGGTTGTGGCTAAATGATGCTTACAGCCATGAAAGCTTCTATGCTTTTGAGCTGATTCATGTTTTGATCTGACAATGTTCAGTTCCTTTCCCACCCCTCATTGAATCACCCTTTTCGTGATATTGCACATGCACTCCCTCTTTTGTTGTTCTCAGTACTCACTCTGCTCCGTTTTATGTACATTGAAGATTTTTGGAGGTTTTCATCTGTCGATGTTCAATCAAACATATTGCCTGTCCGGATATAGAATTGTTGCTTGGCGCGACACTTCAAGTGGGTCTATGAGATATTTTGAGAAGTTCCATTTTTTGGTCTTTCTTCTCTGTCTCATAGGCAAACTGATGCTTGCAGCCATGTTGGATTTCAAAAATTTTGAGCTAATCATGTTTGGGCATCGCAAATTCAATTCATTTGTCGCTAAATCACCCTTTTTGTTGAACTACACAACCTTCTACTTTTCTTGTTCTTATAGCATGTTCTCTCTTGAGCTGAAAACTGTTGATTGGCATGGCAGCTCAGGTGGCTATATGAGATTTAGGAGAAAGTTTCATTTCATGGTGCATCTTCTCTGTCTCTTAAGGCTTACTGAGCCATGACAGGCCGATGCTTGCAGCCATTCTAGGTGTCAAAGCTTTTGAGCTAATCATGTTTGTGTGTTGCAAAGTTCAATATTTTTGTCGCTAAATCATCCTTTTTTTTAAACTACACAACCATCTTCTTTCTTGTTCTTATTACTCTATTGTATTACTCAATCAAGAGAATTTAATATCTCTCTTGAGCTGAAATACTGTTGCGTGGCATTGCACCTCATGTGGGTCATAAGATTTTGGGAGAAAGTTCCATTTCATGGTGCATCTTCATTGTACCATAAGGCTATAACTGATGCTTGCAGCCATGAAAGATTTTAAAGCATTTGAGTTGGTTTTTGTTTTGGCTTAGCAAAATTCAGTTTCCTCCCCCGCTCCCCCAAACCACTCTTTTCGTGAAATCACACATGACCTTCCTCTTTTTTTTAAAAATTATTCTCTTTGCTCCGTTTATAAACCTTGAGGATGTGGAGGTTGTCTTCCGTGGAATTTCAATAATTCTTGTTTTCTCTCGTGCTCATTAAATGATGCTCGACACCACTCCTCAGGTGGGTCTATGAGATTTTGGAATTAAATTTCCATTTCATGGTGTTTCTTCACTATCTCACACGGCGAATTGATGCTTGTTGCCATGACGGATTTGAATGCTTATGAGCTAATTGTGTTTTGGTTCGGGAAGTTCATTTTTTTCTCTTACCAAATCACCCTTTTGGTGGAATTGCTCACGTCCTTCCATTTTTCTAATTTTTAGTACTCTTTCTGGTATAACTCAAAAGGGCAATCAAACCTGTTCTCTCTTGAGCTGAAAAACTATTGCTTGGCATGGCATCACATTGGGATTTGTGAGACTTTTGAAGAAGTATTATTTCTTGGTGTTTTTTCTCTGTCTCAAGGTTTACTAATGCTTCCAGCCATGACATGTTTCTATGCTTTTGAGTTGAGTTTATTTCCCATCCCTCACCGCAAAACCCTTCTTATTGCACATGCACTTCCTCTTTTTTTGTTCTTAGTACTCAGTCTGCTCCATTATGTACACAATGAGGATTTGGAGGTGTTCATCCATAAATGTTCAATCAAACATGTCTCATGACGAAGTAAAGAACTGTTGCTTGGCACAACACTTCGAGCGGGTCTATGAGATTTTGGGAAATGTTCCATTTTTTGGTCTTTCGTCTCTGTCTCATAGGCAAACTGGTGCTTGCAGCCAAGCTGGGTTTCGAAGTATTTGATCTATTCATGTTTGGACGTTGCAAAGTTCAATTTTTTTTGTCGGTAAATCACCCTTTTGGAGAAATTACACGATCTTCTACTTTTCTTGTTCTTATATTACTGATCTCTTGTGTAACTCAAAAAAGCAATTTAGCATGTTCTCTTTAGAGCTGTAAATCTGTTGATTGGTGGCAGCTCAGGTAGGTAGACCAGATTTAGGATAAGGTTCCATTTCATGGTGCATCTTCTCTGTCTCTTGAGGCTGTCTGATATTTAGGAGAAAGAGAGCTGTAGCAGCATATTTTAGAACCCACCACCTCAAATACACCGATCGCCTGTATTCCTCCCAGAGCCTTCACAGGATCAACTCTTAAGATGCCCAATTCTAGCCTTCTTTTTAAGAAAAGATTTAGAACTTGGTATCAAGAAAGAAACCTAAACACATTTTTCCCTGTTCTTATCTGCTGGAAAATTCTTGCAAGCCTTCTTTAGAAAAAATCAAGAATTTTTCAGGAACTTGGTATCAAGAACTTTGCTTTTTGAAGTTACATTGGTATTCAAAAGTACATATTTTCAGGAAATCAAGAATTTTTGCATATATGCTCTTTAAAAAAATTCTTGAATTTGTTGGCATATTTTAAGGAAATAGTAGTTTTCAAGAATATATTGGTATTGCACATACAAGAAATCCTTTTTGAAAATATTATGTTGTTATTCTTGCAATGTGTGTTAAGGATGTTCAAGATTTTGTTTTTACCTTTTTAGTGAGATTGGTGCTATGGTATGGTGGATGTCAATGGCAAGTGTTAGTTTTTTCGACATTGATATAATGCACTTTGATGTGCAGTAAGTTCTGTTCAATTTATTATATATTATCATCTGCTATATTTTCTTCATGGTCTCCTTCTTTGTACCTGAATTTGTCGTACTTGTGTCGAGGGTCTTTCGAAATCAACCTCTTTTGCTACACGAGGAAGTTGAAAGGTTTGCGTACATACTCCCTCCTAGACGCCTACTTGTGGAATTTCACGGGGTATGTTGTTGTTGTTAGTATGATTCTAGTCTTAATTTTTTTTTCTAAATGAATTGTTTTTGTATCACACTTCTCTTTTTTTTCATGAGATTTAGAACCTGTTTGTTTGACTTAGTTTAGGTGCTTTTAAGCCTAAATAGCTTTTAATCCAACATAGCAATGAGCTTTGATAATGCTTCTGACATTGAGAAGCGAAGTAATCTCAGATATATTCACTGTTTTTGTTTAATCTAAAATGCCTAAGATTTTTATATGATTTGACTTTGGAGCCTCCAAAGACTTCTGTGGGATTTAAGGTTAGAATTTTTGTTGGCATTTAATATTTAGTTGTTTTGGTGTTGGGAGACTTCTGACATTGGATTTGTTTTTGTAGAAATGAGTTTGTGAGAATTGGTTCTGATTGTTTTATGTAAAGAAATATTTGAAAACACCTATTCAATTTTTGATACTTTAATGTGGGTCTAATAAATAGGTTAAAACTGGCTAAACATCATTTTTTATTACTAATTGTATATCATTTTGAAGTATTAAAAAGGACCTCCTGACAGAAAGCCCTTTGTGTCACAGCTGTTCACGAAGAACAAAATAATCTCTCATTTGTTATGGGAGAACCATGAAAATCACGTTTCTTGCTTCTATTGGTTGCAAAACAACAGGCTGTTAACAAGGGCGTGCACATATTTGTTTCTTGATTGTTGTGTTGTATTTCTTATTATAACGTGTTTTTCTGCTTTCTACATAATTCTTCCAGTTTGAATGAGCCTGATATTTAAGTGGGATCAAGGTAGTATTCTCAGGAGTTTCAAACTTGCAGGTCAATCTGAGTCATTTAATTAAGAAGTAATTTTTTTTGTTATGCAGAATAAAATGGAGCCCTAATATGGTAGAGACAAGTATTAGAGAAGCACGGGTCCTCAATCCTGCCACAAGGAATATGAATGTTGAAGAGAATAAGCTTATGGTGGCTATTTGATTTTTAATGTTACTTGTAAGATTGGGGCCCCATAAGGTACTATCGAGAATATCTGGACTAGATGTGACTCTCGGTGAGAGCAATTGTACACGACATTCTTATGCAACATCACATTGATGTACTGTATTTGATGTTATTTGTACATTTGGCATTGATCACTTCACATTTCCTTCCCTGTATGCTGTAGCCCCCCGCCTGCCTCCCTAAAGGGGGGGGGGTGTGACAAATTGTGGAAGTTTGGTTAGTGGAAGAGAGTTAAGAGTTACTTATGCATCACATGGTGCAAAGCATTTCAGTGTTATGCCATCGTGTAGTTATATCACATTCTTTTCTCTTTAGTTACTTTTGGAAAACCTAGATAAGAATTTAGTTGTTGAACTATCCTCCTCATCTATTGCTATCCCATTTTGTTATCCTCTTTTCAGATATACCTGTGAATTATGAGATCAGGAAAAAGAGGTGCAGGCCCAGAGTTGCAAAGCGAAACTGAACTTCCTTTCCCGCAGACAAAGAAACTGACTGGATAGTGCACTGTCAGGAGAGAGATTTGATCTTCACAGAATATTATGTGGGGAAGTGCTTCTGAAAAGCATGATCCCAAGTCCAAATTCCCCTTGTCAGATCAAAAGTTCAAGTCGGTCAATCGATAGCTCTCTTGCTCATTGCAGAGTCTGTCTGAATTGGATATCCAGAAGCTCTGTATAACCCCTTTCATCTATACAGAGGATAATTTCCTGGATAAGAAATTCGTTGCTTCAGATAGATCCAAACAGTAATTGCTTACAGATCAAGCTTCATTTATGCGATCAGGGAGAGGTTGCTGTATTAGAGAAGGAAACCATTTATGCGAAGACCTATGCACAGAAGTCTGACCCCTGATGGATCATCCTTTGATAGTGATGAAGATACTACGTTTGAAAAATGTAAGTACAGAAATAAACAAAATCGCCTTGAAGATGATTAAGAGTGTTGAATTTGAAGTAGCTGATGATGTTAACCATGTCTTGAATCACATGTCTCCTGGATTGTTAGAAACTTGTCCAACTCAGATCAAGGTATTGCACGGGGACTGGGAGGCATAATAGTTGTGACACATGCAAGTTGACCTGAACATCACCCTCGGAATTTTTATTTTTTATTTTTCTGCAGAGAGAGAGAAGGCAGGTTTGGTTGATTTGCATCATAATTTCAGATTCCTGCTGCTCTGTTTTGGTAGAATCAGCTTGTTCAGGTTTTTCTAATCTTTTTGCCGTTTGGTGATGTAGTTTCTACTTTCACGTTTTTCTGATTTAATCGGCTTTTGAGGTACTCTAACTGTGCTTAGGAGGTTGATGACCAACTTACAAAAAATTTATAATGTATTCTCATAGTATTTGTTGATGAAGTCCTAATTAAATTCGTCCAACGAATGGGAATTACACCCCGATTATTAAATGTTGTTTTGATCTATTCGATTCGATGGGGAACTTTAGGAGTTCTTCATTTTGCTTTTAAGTGCTATATTGTGGACTCTTTGTTGACATTAAGAAGGGAAGAGCATAAACTCAACATGTTTTGTTAAACGGTAGCCTCTTCCAATATTTGCCTTTTCTCTTTTTCTTTGATCCTTTTCTCGATGTTGACAGTAGTAAAATCATCTTTCTCCCTCAAGAATTGGAGCTTGAGGTGCTGCTACCACATTCCAACAATTACATATCAAACTTCTTCTGAATCTTTGCATTCATAATCTAGATCAGAAGTACTCTTGAGTCTTAAACTTGTTGCTTATAATTCAAATATCTGATTTCAATAGTAAGTTTAATACATGGATATAGAAGCCAACCAACTGAAGAAAATTAAACGTGTGTGGCTGTGCTTGTTTGTAAAACATCACCTACAGTAGTATCTGATGGATGTTTACCTGAGGGGCTTTGCAGCTTTGTGGGGTTCTTTGAGGGATTCAGGGATGCACAATTTCACTCCTATGTCATCTGTTCATTCCAATTGCCAAAAACTCTTGTAAATATACTTACAAATTTAAATTCTGTAGTTCCTTGACTTCAAATATGTTCTCTTTGAAGCATTATTCGAGATCAATAATCTCATTTGTTGAGTATCTGTATTTCTTCTTCAGATTGTAAGTGTACCTGAAGAGCACGGAAACATCCACGTGGCAATACTATTTACGTATACTGAATCTATTTAGTGCCTATTTAATCTGCATTATCTTTTTAAAAATTGCTGGCTTACAATTTTGTGGGAAAAATACTTAACACTTGTTACTTTGATGGTAATATAGTTTAGTGCTTTTTAGAATCAATTGGACTTAGTTGGGAGTGGAAAACAAATCTCTACGAGGAAAGAATGTTTGACCGAGGAAAGAATGTTTGACCAAGGAAAATCATATGTTAGGCACTGACCTATTCAACAACAAGAAACAGAACGTCTTCAGCTAGACTACACTTGTGTTGGGAGGGGGAGGTCAAGTGATGATCTCACTGCATGTGGGCTCATATCTGAATTTTTGAGGTGGTTTTCAGTTTTAGTGAGTTTATCTTTACTGATGAGTATCATCTTGTTCAGGTTTGTCTACTGTTTTTGCCTTTTTGCGTTGTAGTTTCTAGTTTCTCATTTAGATGATTTAATCGGCTGTTTTGGAACTCCAACTGTGCTTAGGAGGTTGATTACCAGCCTTAAAATAGTCATATCATGATGAATCCTCATAGTATTTGTTGAGATGATGTCCTAAAGAAATTGTCCCAACAAGAGTGAAATACACCTGACTTTTAAATGTGGTTTCGAACAATGATTGGATGGGGAACTTTAGGAGTTTGTTTGTTTCGCTTTAGGTGCTATCGTGGACTCTTAGCTGCTGACATTAAGAAAGGAAGTAAACTCACTATGTTCTGTTAAAGGTATCCTCTTCCCATATTTGCCTTATCTTTCTTTGATCCTTTTTTTCTTGTTGACATCAGTAAAATCATCTTTACCCCTCTAGATTTGGAGCTTGAGGTGCTGCTGCAGCATGCTAACAATTACATTAAACTTTTTCAAATAAATCTCCGTATTTGCAAATTCTTTGCACTTATAGTTTAAATCGAAAGTACTCTTGAACTTATAGCTTATTTTTCAAATATCTCATTTAAGTACCTTGACCCAGTAAAATGCTATAATTTTACAATGGTAGGTTTATACATGGATAGAGAAGCCAACAAAATTATGAAAATTAAGAGTGTGACGCTGTGTGTTTGAAAAACGTCATTAGTCATTACACCTGTTGTGAGAAGTCTTTTGAGGTTCAACTTGCATGCATTTGAGAAATTATTTGTTTATGAATTTTCGACTACCAGGAGAAGAAAAAAAATATGATGCTTGAAGATGAAAGAGAATATTTGAAGTTGATGTCCTCTTTTTTTTTTCACATTTCATATTGTTTCTTACTTCGTTTTTTTCCTTTTAATTGTGGATCCTTGTTTTTGCCCTCACAGAACGTAAAAATGCTCTTTGCAAGAAATACAAGCAATCAACTTGAATAATGTAATCTTTTAGCTTAGTGCTATTTAGCTTTAACGTACGATATTTCATTCCTCTGCTAAAGGAAGTTTATGTCTTTATCCACAACACATTCACAGGAAAAAAGGGAAAGAGAAGAAGTAGAAGCAGCTCTTGATAAAAGAAAATGATACTTCATTCTGATACACTATCAAAATCAGTCAATTTACTGCTAAACAATTTGTTTTGATGTTACAGGTCAACTTACAGTTCACCGAGAATGCACTTCCAGTTGTTGTTGAGGAAGGCATTGCCAAAAGCAGTGGTGCACGATGCTCAAGATCTATACTAGAAAGTATTGTGACTGAAGCCATGTTTGAGGTATTGCATGGCACCACAACTTTTTGTGTTTGGCGTTATTTCTGGAAGAGCTTGGAAAAATATTTCACCCATTTTACTCTTATCACATTGAGGCTACTAAAGGGAGGAGATATGTCACCATTTATTTGAGAGTTTGAACTACCTGCATTTCAGTGTTACTTTCAAAATTTTACTTGAGCACCCCATGAGTGTTGAAATAGCCATCTTTTGAAGAACTTAGCCTAAAATGAAACTAAACATGACTTTTACCTGCCTTTCGAAATGTGCCTAAATATTGGTTTCAAAGGCTCGTATTCATTGCCAAGCATGGTTTCTCTTTTAGGTCAAGTGATTCAATATGATTCAACTTATCATTCCTTTATTCCGAGACGGCAAAATCCTTTAATTGGATTCTGAGCACCCGTTTGAACTAACATGAGAGTTGGTGGTCTAACTGATGTTGTAGTTACTTCATCACTATTGGAATCTTTGAGGAAATCCCTGTGACTTGAGCTTAGTTTTCTTTTCCGGATCACAAATATTTAGTGATTTCATGACTCTTTGTTCTCGTGAAATTCTAAAAACCAAATGCATTGAAAGCATTTGTTTCACATTGCTTTCTGTTTCTAGGTAGAAAGTGATGATCTCACTGCCTATGGACTTATACCTGAATTTGTGGCACGGCTTCCAGTTTTAGTGAGTTGTATTCCATCGATAAGAATCAGCTTGTGCAGGTTTCTCTACTCTTTTCACCTTTTGGCGATGTAGTTTCTAGTTTCATGTTTTCCTGGTTTAATTGGCTATTTGGTAACTCCAACTGTGCTTGGGAGGTCGATAGTATTATTTTATTTTTCCTAAAATATATGAAGATTAATAATCATTATGTTCCTATGCAGAAATTTTTTCGGTGATGTAGGTTTCTTTTTTACTATTAAATCCTTGTTGGCAAGACACTTGTGAAAGTTATTATACTGTGAATTGAAACTTTGCGAATTTGCACATGATTAGTGATTGTTATTATTTAAAAATGATAATGTTGTAAATTATTAATATTAGTATATTTGTTATCATTATTTTCTTTTCCATCTGCAGCCAATTAAACTGCAACTGTTTCCTTCTGCTGGTAGAAACTAGGGATAATATAATCTTTGGAGGTCCCCAAAAATGGTGAATTTGACTCTTACAAACATACTCTGCGAAGGTAAACATCTCATGGCATGGGTATTTTTCTCTTGTATCCATCTCTTACACATTTATTTGCAGTAACTAATTCCTATTTCTCCATCCAAATGTGCAGTTTGACTCCATTTTTGCTGATGACAGGCAGGGACAAAAACTACATATATTTAGCAACTTCTGATTTGCTAAATGAGTTAAGCAAAGAGGGTTTTAAACTAAATGTTTCTGGATTGGCTGTGAAATGGTATGATCTTTTCTCATTTGTTGTTTCTTATGCTCGTGTTGTTCCTGTCTTTGGACTAGGAGCTTCTTATTTGACCCCTACTAAAATGGTTGTAATCTTTTTCATATTATAAACAAGGTTTGTGAGCAGCAAATTCAAGAGATGGACTAATAGGCTTTGTGATAAATTCTTCTTAATGGAAAAGATTAGCATTGTGATATTGCTGGCATAGCTTTGAAGACTTTCATATCTGAAGTTCCTTCATCATCTATTGCTCGAAACGTCCTCGTCTCTGTAACACCTTGGACTTCGAGAAAGGTCTAGAAAGGACAAGCGGGTAAGTCCATGAACCCAAAATGGACCATGGATCCTTAGTAGGTCCCCTAGACGGACCGTTTAGGGGTCCACCGCCCGTTAAGGTCATCGTGAGACCATCCTGGATTGTCCCTAGGCAGTACAAGTCACCCAGACAGTGAGGTTGCACCCCAAGGTCACTGTGAAGGACCACGAACGCCTAGACGGTCCATGGAGCTTTACACGGACCGTGAAGTCGTCCGTGAAAGGGGCTTATCAGATTTTTAGTTTTGGGTTAACTTCAGTCGATCATATCTTTCAGCACAAAATTAATTAGGTTGCCCATGACCTATCAAATAAAATGTCTCTGAGTCATTTTTCCAACGTCACCAAGTTCGCCTAATTCTGAGCCCGGAGTAAAAAGTAATGTCCGTGTTAGTGAGGCCCTGTCGGGCAGGTGATCATCACAACCCACTAGATGGGCCATGATGCTCTGACGGCCCGTGAAGCCTCTCGTGGGAGGCACTTGGTCAGGTTTAAGACTTGGCTGTATCGGTCTTTTCCCCTATGCATTTGGTACTTAAACTACATCGTTTGGTACATGTAATACATCTTTTTACTTCATCTAAGCCTAGTAACCTAGTCAGAAACTATCTAAAATCTTCATTGTCTTAAAATCATCTAACTTGGAAAAAAAGAAGAGAAAGAAGCGACAGTTTTCTCTCTAGAACAAGCAGAGCTCTCCTTCAATTTCAGCCCCGAATCCATAGGATTTCTCCATAGTTTCTTCACCAGGTATGTGGCTATTCTGTAAGGAAACTGGATAGGGAAAAAAAGGGATTTATTAGGCTTTGGATTGTTTAATCAAACGAGAAAGAAATAGATCAGCCTTGTGGGAACTAGATCAGAAAAGAAAAAAGGAGTAAACACGGTATAGGACTTGGGTTGACAATAAATAGTGATGTCATGGTGTCTTTAGGAAAAGAAAGAAACATTTACATTATAAATCCTCTTAAAATAAGCGAACGATAATTCATGTATGATGTGTAAACGGCGAAGTCGACCAGCTATCTGATCCTGAGTCCTGACACAGCGCCATAGCACACACGATAAATAGGAGCACTTGTAAATTCCCTAACACAAAGGACAATAAGCAAACTAAGTGGTAAACCGGTTTGACAGAATTCAATTCAACTTTTCCACTAGAAAAATCAATTCCACTTGAGATCCAAAAACTATTGCATTTTCAAGCATGTCTTATCGTCTCTCATCTGCTGGTATCTAGAAACTTTCTTTCTTCACCATCATCTTAAGGTGACTTTTAAATGTCCCAATTCTTAACAAGTTTGCATATTTCACCATTCAACACAAGTCCAAAAACAAAGGATAATAAGAAAACGAACTGATATTTGTACAATTCCTCCACCATCCCCACCCAGCCCACCCTACCCTTTCAAAAAAGGAGTTATCTCTTGTATATCATGTGAATTAGAGATTCCATATATTGTAATGGTATGGTGCTGTTTGCTTTGATATGCTCGGCCTCTTTATTCCTTTTCTCTGCTGCAACAGGAGATAGATGATGGTCATTGCATATATGGACACGACATTCTGCAATCATAATAGAACGTGAAGGTTCCTCTGAGGAGATTAATCAAATCTTTGGTTAAGAAAGTAAAGTTTATTCATGAAAATGCTCACACCAGAGAATCTGTAGAGGTTGTCTTGGTTGATGAAGCTGTCGGAATAGCTGATACAGCTGGATGTGGAGCAAAAGTTCTTCATGGTAGTAGTTGGCTGGAGAAATGTCTAGTGGTTGCTGGTGAAGAAAGTAAAGAAGCCAGCAGGAGGATAGGAAAAGGAGGGTGATTTAGGCGGTTTTCCCTAATCGGTCTGCAATTCCTCCAAAGAAAGTATTTTCTGATTATTTTCGTTGTCATAATTTTACTTGGTTTTAATCTATTATTTTTCTTATTTAACAATCCTTACAACTCGTCTGACCTGGAACAAGGTTATGATGATAGCCAAACTCCAGTAGTCAGAAAATTTCCTATAGAAGAAGAATCCGCACATGATTTGACAGCTTCTGTAGCCACAACTGTAGCTGTTCTTGCAAAAAGTCAAGAGCGGGGTAGTCTGATTGATGTCAACTTATTGGTTAGGCTTCTCCTCAGCTCAGGAGAAATACCAAAGCTGATGAATGAATGTGGCATGGCTACCAATACTGCAATTGTTGCTTCTCTCAATGCTGCCATGTCTAGGCCAGTGGATCTACTTGTTCCCTTGCCCAGGACAAAACCAGATGAGGTAATTAACAAGCCCATTAATGGATGCCAAGCTCCCCATGCAGGATTTGGACAAAGTTTTGAGCCAAAGCCATTGGCAAAATCTGTGCCCTTGACAATGACTAAGCATGAAACATCTGTGATTAGTGATTTGGTTAATGAACAAGGGACCCCTCAGTAGAAACTGCAAACATTAGAGAGAGTAAGTCAATAGCCTATTCCACTTCAGACCTTGATCTAGAAAATATTAAGAAACTGATTAGCAAACATAGAGTACCTAACAATGAAGGAGGAAAACCCTTGGTTATTTCTGAGTTGGTTTCCAGATATGGTCCTACCAGCTGCAGCCTAAGTTATCTCTTTCACCAAATGTTGGCCATACATTTTCGATGACTAGTCACAAGGATATCAACAATTACTGCAATTCTCTGATCAAGCAACGTGGAGAAAAAACTTATCAAGCAACGTGGATACAACATCCATCCAACAGATTAGTTTTTCTCCACGTTGCTTGATCAGAGAATTGCAATAATTTTTGATATCCTTGTGACTAGTCATCGAAGATGTATGGCCAACATTTGGTGAAAGAGACAACTTAGGCTGATAGGCTTATATCTGGAAACCAACTCAGAAATACCAAGGGTTTTCCTCCTCCATTGTCAGGTACTCCATATTTGCTAATCAGTTTCTTAATATTTTCCAGATCAAGGTCTGAAATAGAATAGGCTATTGACTTACTCTCTCGATTTGCAGTTTCTACCTGAGGAGGGGTCCTTGTTCATTAACCAAATCACTTATCACAGATGTTTCAGGCTTAGTCATTGTCAAAGGAACATATTTTATCATTGGCTTTGGCCCAAAACTTTGTCAAGATCGTGCATGGGCAGCTTGGCATTCATTAATGGGCTTGTTAATTACCTTATCCGGTTTTGTCCAGGGCCAGTAGATCAATTGGCCTAGACATGGCAGCATAGAGAGAAACAACAGTTGCAGCATTGGTAGCCATGCCACATTCATTCATCAGCTTTGATATTTCTTTTGGGTTGAGGAGAAGCCTAACCAATAAGTTGACACCAATTAGACTACCACGCTCTTGACTTTATGCAAGAGCAGCTACAGCTGTGGCTACAGAAACTGTCAAATCATGTGTGGATTCTTTTTCTAGAGGAATTGTTCTGTCTACTGAAGTTTGACTATCATCATAACCTTGTTCCAGGTCAGACACGTTGTAAGGACTGTTAAATAAGAAAAATAACAGATTGAAACCAAGTAAAATAAAGACAACGAAAGCTACAACATAAAAAGTAATCCAAAAATTACTTAATTTGAAGGAATTGCAGACCGATTAGGGAAAATCGCTTGAATCACCCTCTTTTTCCTATCGTCCTATTGGCTTCTTTACCAGCAACCACTAGCCATTTCTCATTTAAGTGGAATTACAAATAACAACAACAAATTTGCTTGGTCATCATACTTGAAGGCAACGACCGATAGGGTTTGGGTTTTCGTGAACACTTTAAGTACACATGGCTAAGCCGACGGATGTAGGGTATTTTTTTTTTTGGAAAAATGATATACGCTAAACCACCTGCTAAATAGAAAAAGCAGCAACCAAAAAGCACGGATCTAGGGTATTGGGTAAGGGAATTTGGGGACATTTTAAGCATGAATAGCCAAATCAGTGGATCTAGGTATTGAGTAAGGGTTTTCAGGATTAATTTAAGCATGAATGACCTAGTTGGTGGATCTAGGGTATTGGGTAAGGGTTTCCATGAACAATTTAAGCATGAATGGCCAAGTCAGCGAATCTAGGCTATTGGTTATGATTTTCAGGGCTAAGCCTGCGGATGTAGGTTGTCCATCCGCTGCTATCGGGATGCACAAAAGGTAAAATCCTACTGTGCCGAGCTTATGTTATTACTCACAAATTACAGACGAAAAAATCACAGACAACACACAAGGTACCACTCCGCCGCTCTTTAGTAACAACTCACAAATCACACAAACGACACACAAGGTAAAACCTCGCTCCGCCTCTCTTATGTAATAACTCACAGTTCACACGGAGGAGTTGACTTGTACCAAGCAAGGTGAGGTTAGGGTTTTGCGTAAGATTTTTGCTCAAACTTTACATTTATGGTTTTGAGTAAGATTTTTGCTCAAACCTTCCATTTTTTTTATATAGAAGTGCCAAGTTGAGGACAACCAAGGGTAAATTTGTCATTTCATAAATATTCTACAATGTTTGTTTTTTTTAAAAAAAGTGGTAATAGATTTATAATAAGAATACAATCAAATATCTTTTTTTCAATGTCATCTGTATCCTAATGATGTGACATTCAATTTAGACAGAAATCTTCTATAGATTTCTTGTTTGTAGTGTGATATTTTTATTAAACCAAAAATATCTATTAAACATTAGTAATTTTAATATTATTTAAGGGTGAAATAATAATTGTATAATTAATGATGAAAATTTAGAAGAACTCATACATGTCTGTACTTTTAAAATCGACATATAAAGTTTTTTTTATAATTGTTTTAAAATGAAGAGATTCTATTAATTAGCTTTTTACAAACAATATAAGTGCTAAGCTTGTCTTGACATGTTTTTGAAAGGAAAATTTGAACTTATTTAAAATAAAATGTGTTTGAATAGTTAATATTTTATCCTAAAAATACTTTAAAGAATTATTGTGTAAACATATTTTTGATATTTGTTACAGATATGATCAAAATTCGTGTCTTGATTATTAAAATCATATTTAAAATGACGTATCAATTTTTTTTAATTAATTAACTTTTTAAAAACAATAATCAAAGCTAAGCTCGTTTTGACATGTTTTTGAAAGAAATATTGTACAAATTTAAAATAAAATCTTTTGAATAGTTAATATTTTGTTCCTAAAAATACTTTAAAGAATTATTGCATAAACATATTGTTAATATTTGTTACAGAATATGGCCACTAAATTCGTATCTTGATTATTGAAATAATCTTTAAAATGACGTATCAATATTTTTAATTAATTTGAAAAAATATAAAATTACATGACCAAAAGAAAAAACAATGTTTGATTATTAAGAAATTAATGATTCGATAATGTATTCATCAAAATATTAAAAAATAAAAAAAATTATTTTTTAATAATAAATATTTTCTTAATATCAAATATGATAAACTATTTAATAGGAAAAATTTGACAAGAAAAAATATTATTATTCAAATTCTAAGGAATGTAAAAATACGAAATAAAGAAATATGAGTAGTTAAAAAATAAAGAAAACACAAAAAATGAAAATGTCAATAGCAAAGGGCTTGAGAAATATAGAGGAAGAAATAAAATTTAAAAATAAATAATAACTTGAAAAAGAAAAATGAGTATATTGGTTATTTTGCGGGGGTAAGATTCAAAGTTTTCTTTCACGGCATGATATTTAGAGTGTAGTATTAAAAAAATTATTAATATATATATATATATATATATATATATATATATATATATATAACATTATGTCAATTCTTATCGTATATAGATATAAAATTGCTTTCATGATTGTTTTTATTTTTGTGAAGCTAGATATTTTAATAAATATTTTCAATATTTAAAATATAACAAATATAACATTATGACAATTGTTATTGTATATAGAAATAAGTTTGATTTCATGACTGTATTTAATGTTGTGGAAGTTAAAAATCAAGTTTTTAATAAATACTTTCAATATTAATACCAAAATAAATAAAAGTATTCTATTATCGAAGACAATAATCAAATGTATCACAAAATTCACCGACAAAGCAAATTACAAACACATTATACTTAAGTTGAAGCAATAGAGATTTGAAAGGCTTTGAATCGATCTTTACATGGTTGATCTATGATTAGTATTTTATGAGATGCAAAGCTTACGGTATAAATATTACAAAAATAAGATGATATCATTGTAGAAAATAGATACCATTTGCGAAAATATATGAAGATCGATGAACTTTTTCAAAGATATCAACATTTAATATATTCCTCGAATGTGAAATGTTTTAATTAATAATTATAACGTAATTCTCTATTTTCTTGTTGCATTGAATGTTTTAAAATTCAACTTTCTCAATTTGGATTGTAAACTACACATTTATATCGTATGAACATTTGGAAAAGGTTATTAAGTAATATATTGAAGTTATTTACTGGAAAAAAAATAGTAAGATGTATAGAAATCTCATATATTTTATATTCCAAAGTTTTCTCAATTACAAAAATCTCGATTTTTTCGTTGTTCTCGAATACATTTATTGTTTGTTTAATACATTACTAATGATATATATTACTTCATGAGAGAGATGTATTTGAGAGGGGATATTATGTGTTCGAGAGGGAAATATGATATCTTAAGTTGTAAACTTATATAATTTTTTCAACAAAATATATGAAATTATATTAGGCCCGTATCACGGGTCTTAAATTATCTAGTATATATATATATCAAACCAATCAATTGATCCGATTATAGGGAATAACTCACTTAGACTTAAATTGCCTTTTTGTAAAGACTAAAGAAGTTTGTTTCCTCTTTTATATATATATATATATATATATATATAAGGTATTTTTTATTTTTATTTGAAATTATTGAAAATTCATAAATTTTAATTTTTAAATTAGTCTTATCCAACAAAAAGCAAAGTTTCAACAGAATATATGACCTAACATCCACACATTGAGACGTTAAAGATTTGACAGATCTAAGCTAGGATTTGTAACACTGTTTTATAGAATTACTACTTCATAAACAAATAATATTGAAGTATAAGAGAAAAATATGAGTGTGAACATGAATAATTTTCTACAATTATTCATCACTTCTTGTGGTACCTCGAATTTTATTGAATTCTGAACTGCAAATACATTTGAGATTTTTTAAGAAGAAAATTAGAAAACTTAAAAAACCGTAGATTAAAAAATGAGAGAAAACCCCTCTATGTGTAGCTAAGAAATAGTAGTATTAATAGGTTTCTTATCAAAAAAGTTACAACATTTCAAAAAATCACTGCTCGTCGAAAAAGTCACAACATTTCGAAACATCATTGTTGGTCAAAAAAGTCACAATCCTTTGAAAAGTGACAACTCATCGAAAAAGGCTCAACCCTTTGAAAAAGACACAACCATTTTGAAACAATCACAACCCTTCAAAAAAGTAAGAATTTATCGAAAATGTGACGACTCTTCGAAAAAGTCGCAATCTTTTAAAAAAGGCATAACTCTTTAGAAAAATAAAAACCCTTTAATATACAAATGTAACTATTCTTATTATAATATAATTAATTGAATGAATAAATAATTAAAATTCAGTATTTTTAATTGAGGATATTATAGTAATTTAATGTTTAAGTTTGGAGTACATGCGTTTAAGGTAGTGTGTGTTTGTATATATATATATATATATATATATATATATATATATATTCTCTACTTTTTTTTCTCATTTCATTTAATTACTTTTACGTTTTTATTTCTGTTTATTATAAATTGTAGAATGTAATTTGTATAATAGAATTTGTATAACTGTTTAAAGCTCAAATTTTTGTGTCTGTATAAATTCATTACTTAAATTTTATCAAATTTGTAAAATTTTGAATTTAATATTACTCAATTATACGAAATACGTGCGAATTATACAAACGAGGTGCGAATAACCTCTCGCCCCTCTCTCCTTCCTTAACATATAACTACAAATTATAATTAGCTATGAAACATGATTAAACTATGAAACATAATTAAATTTTTTTTTAATAGCTATATGTAAAAGTTCACATTAAGATTTCCTATATTCATTCACGTACAATCAATTATCCGCGTAATGCAAAGTAAAAATAGAATTAGTGCTTTTTAGGAAAGTATATATGAATATAAAAGGTGACATCAAACTGATCTCGAGGTAATATAAAAGGAATACCTGTGCATTATTCTTTTTATTTATAATATTAAATAAAATTTAAACATCAAAAAAAGGCGGGTGGAGTAGACAATATTACGGAGGAGTAATATTTTAAAAACTTTCTATAATGGACACGGAGATGAAATAAACAAGCGTCAATTTGAAGCTGCTCTCTCTATAAATAAACCCAAACGCATCTTCCTCTTTCTATTTAAATGGATGTTGCTATGTGATTTCAAGATTTTCGGTGAAATCAAACAAACTCTCTCTCTTTTGATTGCATCTTAGGTTCTTTAAGGTTTTATTGTTTTTTTTTTTGTGTTGATAAATTCTCTTTGTTCTTGTTATGTTTCTTGATTTCCGATTACTTAACAGTTTTTTTTTTCTGATAGTAAATTATAAGTTCGAGGGTGGTTTACTTGAACTAATATCTAGCTTCCTCTCTCTCTCAATGGATATTCCTATTGTGATTTCAAGATTTTTCGGTGAAGTCAAACAAACTCTCCCTCTTTTTATTGCATCTTAGGTTCTTTAGGGTTTTATGTTGGAGAATTTGAATTCTTGATGTTTTTTCTATCGTAATTTCACAATGTAATTTATATTATTTTGCTTTAGTGATTTCGTATGTTCAAGAATTTACAATGTCTTTGTGATTTTTTTGTCAAGATTCTACAATGTCTTTTCTTTAGTGATGACAGTTGTGTAATGGATAATTT